GAAATATTTGCATTTTTATGAATGAAATTTTTAGGTGACAACAGTACAATAGCCCGCCCACACTTTATTACTTTTAAGAGTTTCACCTACGGAAGACGATTAAGTGTTTTATTTGGAATTAATCTTTTTAAAACACGTGTGCAAAAAGGAAGTAAAAATTGAAAAATAAAGATTTAAACACCTTTTAACAGATATTAAATAAATATAAAAATATCTTTTTGAAGTTTTGAAAGTTATTAGATAAAAATACTCCCAATTTGACTTGCCAATCCTCCTTTTTGATAATTAAAAGGCTTTATTGCTGTATTTAAGTTTAAATGTCGAAATTGATTTGGGAGAGGATTCAAACTGATCATACAGAAATACACATAACACTTAATGACATTTGGACATAATGCACATTATCCAAGCTCTAAAAGCCTTTGAAACTTAAAAAAAGAGAACAGAGCAAACACGGAACTTTAAAACATCAGAGTTTCAATCAGATGCCATGAAGGAGTAAGCATTTAAAGAAACATAAAGGTTTCCAAACTTGACTTATAGAAAGTTTTTGGAAAATGTTTAATTATGTTGCTCTTAAACGTCCTTTCATCCCTCCCCTTGCCACTTATTCGTGACAATATTATGACCCATAAGGAGCTCTGGATTTTCTTAAATTTCCGACTTTCCAAAAAAGGTGCCTGTTTCCTCAACTGAAAGTTAATTTTTTCCATATAATCATTTCTCTCACATGATAAAAGTAAAGATTTAATAATAAAACATAGTGTAAGTTAAAATTGCTGCTCTTCTACCTATATATTCTTTATATACAAAAATTCATTTCAACGTGCCATTAATAAAAGTCTTCAGAAACCATAAATATTTCCCGTTTTATACCAAAAGTCGCTACTTTTGCAATTTTTTATGGACCTGGCCAAAGTCCCAAAAGGTTGAGAGAGCCCTGGCTTATCCTCAATAACTTGTAAATTTGTGCAAACCCTGCTATACTAAGTGTGAAGCAATTTCCTACTTTGTTGTCAAACTTAATGGTAACAATAAATATAGTGTTATGTTTGCCGACATCACTTGCTATTATAACCTAAAATCCCGGGCTATAATCATAAAATGCTTGTTAGATATCAAGCACCATATCCGCAAAAAGAATAATTGGAAATGCTTCAAATTGTCTTATTCACGGTTATACCGTGCGGTGATCGATTTGGACAGTAAGAAGCTAAGTCAAGGCTAAAGGACGAATTCATTCGCTTATCAGAAAAGCAGAATCTTCATCTTTACCAGAATCCTTCATTTATTCATTTGAATATCGCCTACTTTCGTTGACCGTACACTAAAGAGTAGCTGCATGAATTTGAAAAAAATACATTTCATTTATGGAACACTTTGTATGTATTCATGGTTTCTGTTTCCCATGAGTCTCAAGTTGAGTGAACGTAGATAAGGTTCATGAATAAGTCTGTCAAAAGATTCCGTTTGGAGTTACCCTAGGATCACAGCTAATTTTCAGGGAACAAATTGCACATATTCTCCAAGGACGTATATACGAGGGTTGTTCGAAAAGTTCGTGGACGATGTCAATCTTCGTTATACTACTCACTAGAAATTTAAAATAAGCACATTATAATATGTAAAAATATTTGTTTTGTTGATGTGTGAAGTTTTATTCCATTCGATTTAACAGAAATCAATTTACGTCAATTTTAAATCAACACGTTTGGTACCCATGGAACACTCTCAACGGCAATGTAACGTCAAAACATAGCGTCAAGAGTTTCAAAAAATACTATTCCTATACATTTCATACAGTATAATCAAATGTTCCTTCCTTAAATTCTTTTTCTAATACTTGACATTTATTTTTTAAGAATTTCTCTCGTTGTATAATTTCCTTCGTTAAGGTTTAAATTTCTTTTGCTCCTTAACTCTGCTTTCACAGAATAAGCAACTCTGAAGCGCCTTTGTCTTTCCTTAACGTTCCAACTTTTTAAAGTTTTTGTTCAGAATTTTACAGTTAAACCGTATCTTCACAGATTATTATCATCCGATACAGAGTCTCTGTCAGTCAAATACTGCATGTACTATGTGTACACACATGCACAACTCGCTTGTGACATATTTTCTTGATTCCTCCAACATTTTTAGAGTTTATTCAGGAATCTTCTTGAGTAAAACAAAAAATTGCATCGTTATCTGCTGCTCCGTGACGTTCTAAAACGTCATCGTTTTTGTCGTTTTCAATAAGGAATACCTATCTTCTCAAGTTGATTTCTTTTGAACAAGGCAATTTATTAAGCCATTATTTGATATACGAATCGATGTATTTATTATTAATTTGAATTTCTAGGTTGTTCTTCGTTTTTTGATCTATTTTACAGAGAATATGACTAAAGACATTATTTAGTGAATTGTCTATAACTTACTAAATTTTGACCTGCTCCGCATTTCTAAAATCTGAATAAGTTTTGAATAAATCGTAATATTTTGAAAATATTCATACAAATCATTTGGATTTTTTGTTAAAATATTTCTACCAAATTTGGTTAACATATGACGTCAAATAAAAAAGATAGGACAGTTGTCCACGAACTTTTCGAACAACCCTCGTACGTATTGGCAGAGAACGTTTGTTTGTTTGTCTGTTTGTTTGTTTGTTTAATGTCCCTTCAAGATTTTTTTACTCATATTGAGACGCCGCAAATTTCTAATGGAGGTCTACAGCTTTAGTCCTTCACTCGGCGCTTAAAACCTTTGAGCAGCGAGGGATCTTTTTTTTGTTCAAGTACTAACTGCGAAACGGGACCTGCTTTTTTACGTTCTCATTCGAGGGACCGGTCTCCAAGTCCAGCAGTTCGGATTCAAAACCGCGATCATCTCTAACTTCTGCAACTGTAGGGCAAAGCTTCTAACCAGTGCAGTACGCGGACGTTTTTATCAATCCTGATGGCAATGTTTAAAACCCGCATACAACTCTAACCCTTCCCTGTATTTGGAAGGGTATTTCTCTTCTTACTCGTGGTTATAACAAATTTACAACATTGTGATTCGAGACCAAGTCTCTACAAATCGCAGAATTCGTCGATTCATATTGTTTCTCTTTTCAATGGTGTTTTGACAAACTTTGATAAATGTGGCTGTATTAAAAAACAATTTTAATAAAGATTTATCAGATTAAAATACCCATATACAAATCACATCATACTAATGGGGTTCTTTTATATCAACACAAAGACTGAAGACCTGAAGGTTGAAATTAGTTTATTTTTTGGACCAGAAAAAGTTGAATCAGTTAGCGTATATGTAACATGATCGTTGTAGAAATGAACACTCTAAATATTTTTTGTATAAGTTGCTGATAGTGTCTTTTGAAAGTTACACACAAGTACAACGGATGCAAAACTGAATTACAAAATAAGAATCAAAGTATATTACTTCAGGTCTAACCTTTGGTTTGGTCATTGCTAGCGCAATTATCAATAGTATGAAGCCGTAAAATCATTCTAAGCTCTTGCCAGCAAAAACCATCTGTCATGAAGTTGAATGCAGGATGACGTTTTGAAAGTAATTATTTGGCTATTATTTACACACCTAATTTTCCGTGGATATCTTTTTCCCGTTTTTCGCCACCATGGCTGGGAGTGCATGGCGGATGTGGCTGGTATACAGGGGATGCTTTCTCCTGCCTGGCGCCTGATCCCATCCCACCTCTGATGTCTTTAGACATTCGTGTTTGCTCTGCTCCCGACTTTAATCGTTTAGATGGACATTGTTGTTTGTTGTATTCATATTTAGTTTTTTTAATGCTTTTTAAGTCACATGCATTGTTAACAAATTTGGAGATTAAAGATTTCACTTCTTTTTTGAGTAAAAACTCGATTCTTATTCTGTGGGTATGAATCTCACTGCAAGATGTGGAGACTGATTCTTCGGATGAGACCGTTAAAATGTAGGCAATGTGTTATTAAAGAAAAACAATCCCGCAATGGCAGTTGCAATAAACTCGGCCTAAATTTGCAGGCTTTTATAAGCTGGTCTACCAACATAAGTAAACTAGTTATCGTTTCTTGCAGGACTTGAAACGGACAAACATTGACATTTACCAAATTTCATGAAAAAAATGCTACCGTATCTTGGAATGACAATTCAAACGAATGGAAAATATGAACCATAATGAATATTATAGAAAAGTTACGATCGCGCACCTGCCTTATTTCCAGACATCATTCACTCTTTCTTTCTGCCATTCTCATTTCCATATAGAATAGAACCAGAAAAGTACGTCTGTTTTAAGATGAAAATTGTCATTAATTTCACAGTTTAATGAACAAACTTATTTTTAAACTGACCGGGAAAGAAATTTGTTCCCAGTATATCATACTCTCTGTCAAATCTAATGACTCTGATGGTATTTTTGAAAACCTTAGTAAAATGCATTTGGTATTCATTATGATATACATCCATTGTGACTTGTACGGTATTTTGAAGACATGTTGATAAATATATGGCTCCAAATTATTAGCTTCACAGGTAAAGTATGTAATCAATTTATGTTTCTTTAATATTTCTGAGGACTCAATTAATCAAGACGACTTCGTTATTGAAATAAGACTTCAAGACAATTAGGAAATATACGAATGGATGTACTTTAATTATGTAAATTCTCTACAATACGAAAAAAAAATTTAAAGAGAAGAGGCTGTTGAGCATGTTTCAAGAAGGATATATGTTAATGCAGTAATTGCAGCATGTTTTGGTGGTTTTGACTGGATAGGTAACGTCTTAGGGCAAATGACACAGAAAAAAGTGAATTCCAATTGTATTCCATGTAGAAACCTATAAAAATATATTTAAAGTTCTTTTGATATGTACGATGTGCGATAGTCAATGCAAGGTGTTTATAAGTTGTTCGGTTTGCCCTGCTTATAACACATATAATTGTTGCCTGAGTTGGAATAATTAATCGTTAAGTTTTGACATTACATGATATTCTCTCTCTTGCCTTTCAGAGTGAAGAAATTAACCGTGTTGAGCTGATCGTGTTGTTAGACTTTGGAATTTAATAATTTTCATTGCCTACTTTGGATCCATTTTTTCTCTTCTAATGGAAATGCGATTTACATAATTACAAAAAATTGGACTTTATTTAAGAAGTGGTTGCAGAAAGTTTTTATTGTGAAATGTGACGGATGTACTATTGTTTTAATGGCGTTCCTCTCCGATGATGAAAAAGAAGTTGTAAATAGAGATGGCTAGAATAAAAATACTTTTCGAGGAGTTTAAGTGGATAATAATTCTTGTTCTCTGTTTAGAGGGTAAGTAAAAACTATATTTTAGCAAAATTTTGTTTTGAAACAAGATTTGACATAATTGAAGCCATGTTCAGTCTGTTGTAATAGGAACCGAAAATTCCTTTTGTGTATATGAAAAGAAATTTTTGAAAGTAGACACTTTTTACATGCCTTTATGGATGTATTTGGTCATGCCTCTTTGCTTTCTCATTTATCAAACATAAATTCTGGTAAATTATTCTGGTAATAAAATATACATGATAAAAGAAAATTTTTGTAAAGTTTCAAATTTTTTTAATTGAAATTCTGTAAATTGTGTCCAATTCTTGCCACATTGCGTATATTCATGCATAATGTATATGTAATTGAAGAATATGGAGATAACGAACAGTATTCAACCTATGTATGTAACCTTCTTGCTTCAATCACAATTCGACGATCTTAAAAGAAAAATATTTATAATACCAATAGATTAAAATTACACAGTAACTCTTCAAAACATAATTCTTGTTTTCATGTCTAGATGTTTTAAAGGTTTAAGATAGACGTAAATATTTTGAATTGAGCTAAATATTGATGAAAAGGCTTATAAAATATAAGAAAAATGGCCCTATGTGGGTCCGTATACACGAGGTAGTATGTCATTAAAAACATGCTATCTGATACAATATGCATTTAGAAATTTGTCTATTTGGTTATACTCGAATAATTTTATACAAATTTCTGTTCTGTATTATTTATTTTGGCCTAAGACATAAAAGGTCTTGTACAAAATTGTAGTTGTTCTCAACCAAAGTAATACTGTTTTGTCCTTCAGCTCTTTCAGAAATAATATCCTCCAATGATTATTGCATTTGGACATGTAAGGGTGGTTGATTTCAAATAAAATTTTCATTTTTATTACAATTTAGTGGAATGTTTTGCATTCCTTAGCATTATGTGGTACGTAAAGGACTCTTAAAGTGAGTTTTAAATTTGCTGAGTCCATTCACTTGTTAATCCACAATCCTTTTTACAACTTGACTCCATGTATATATAATGCATACTTGTGAAAAGTTGCAAAATCACTCCCAACAATACGTTGCTTTAACATGTTTTGAAAATGGATTAAAGTTTAGAAATGATAGAGTTTTATGCATATAAAGTGTCATTTGATAAAAGCATTCTGTTTTTTTTTCTTCTGAAGAATAAAAAGGGTGAAGAAAACAATGAATTGAAACACCAACTGTTTTAATTTAGACAATAAAATAATGAATTTTTAGGGAAGAAATGATCTCCATGTAGGGTTATTAATAAACTTCGACCAAATATGTGACATTTCAAATAAAATGTATATAAGCTACTTGATAACAAATTCAATTGATAAAAGTAAAGGGAATGTTTTCTAATACATAAATTATATTCACCTCTTTGTTAATTTTTACAATGTATGTTTGTACATTTAAGAGATTAAATCATTGTCATACGTCTTTATAAACTTTAAAAGATGTATTGACGCACAATGTATAATGCTGGTGTAATTGCTGTTTGTGACGACATGAATGCAAAATTGGCATATTTAATTGTTTATTTTTCCGTCAAAATTTATTCGATCAGATGCATTAATTTTATGTTTAAGATGATGGGAATTTAAATAAAACCTATATTGCCAGAAAGTCTTCTAAATGAAGGAGTATGATTTAATTTTAGACATTTACATTTTTATATACGTTTGTTGAGCACTACTAAGGGAATATATGGAGATAACGAACAGTATTCAAGCTCAAAAATCCATTAGATATTTTAAAAGTAATACAAAATAGGAGGAGAGCAAACACGAACCTCCAAAACATCATAGGTGCATGGGATCAGGTGATGGGTGTATTTTTCATGTGGAAGTGTTTTAAATACAACAAGCAACAAAACACTATAATTATCAAGAAAATAAAGAGAGAACGTCTACTATTTGAAGCTTCTTTCGCATTTTCTTTTTGATAATTTCTTTTTTATTAATCTCTAGACATTATTTTCCGTTCTATGTTTCTGAATAATACCAACTTCATTATAAGATAGCATATACAGTAAAACTCGTTTAGTACGAACACGGATATTGCGAATTCACGGATATAGCGAAGTCATTTTTGATCCCCAACTAAATAATTTTAATCAATTTCTTATACGGATATAACGAATTACGGTTAAAGCGAAGTAATTTAACAGGTCCAAGTGACTTCGTTGTAACCGATTTTTACTGTATAATATTTTGGAATGTTCAAGCACGTACATGTAAATATTTATATATACTGTACATGTACCTCTATAATTTGGTAATAAGGGAAGAAGCCATAATTATTGTATAACTTGTAATAAAAGTCGGTTTTCGATCCCCTATCACCAGACAGATCGAAAGTCCAAATTCCAAAACCTAAATAAGCATTTATAGGTCACTCCAAAACTTCTTCCTAAATATGATTTGGTTCAGAGAAAAAGTTAAACGTTCAGAAACTAGTTTTTTAAATTAAAAAAAAAAATAATTTTTGAACCCTGTTATGTCCCCAGTATAAATCAAAATTCGGACAACTTGTTGCATATCTTCGGTACTCTAATTATCATATATCATGCTTTGAGATGGTTACTGCAAAAACATTTTTGAGGATTTTAAAACTTAAAAAAACTAGTACTGTACATATATTACTTCTCATAATATTCCAAAATACGATGCTTTTTTACCATTATTCCCACGGCCCGCAGATGAAAAAGAAATCCCAAAACCTTGTTGCACACGAAATCACCAATCATACTTCAAAAGATAAGTTGGCTTCTTCAATACTTCAGGAAAAGGCTCGTCACAATTTTTTTTATTTTTCATATCTTGAGTTTTATTTTAAGTATTTGATTGAAAGTTTACAGTTTTATATAGCACTGAAATTTAAACATTTCATGAAAATTGTGTTTCATTATCAAAAATATATCAAAAGTTATATATAGTTTATATAAGTCTGTTCACAGTTTATGGTCTTGGGGTCAGGTTTTTGAAGAAAAAGCCAATCGTTCTCGGGTAAAATCTGAAAAATGAAACCTTATGGCAAATCAAAAGAACACTCCAAAACATATTCCCAAACTGCAAAAAATGTAAAAGGAGTAAAAAGAAATCAATCTTTTTTTGTAGAAAGATTTTTTGCTCCAAAATCTCCTTCATGGGTAAAACCAAAACTTTATTGCACATTTCAAAGACACCACCATTCATATTTTAAAAGAGGCAGAGGCGTAGTCACAAACTTAAAAGTGGGGGGGCTCAACTCCAGAAATTCTTTGAAAAAAAAAACAAAACAACTTAAAAGTGGGGGGGGGGCTCGAAATTCCAAAATTCTTGAAAAAAAAACAAAAAAAAAACTTAAAAGGCCAATCACAATCCTATATATTCTTTGACAAGCAGAAAAAAAAAAAAAAAAACCCAAACTTAAAAGTGGGGGGGCTTAACGGTTCAGAAATTCTTTGACAAGCAAGGAAGAAAATGGAAAAAAAAAAAATAAACGGAAAGTTCACCAAACTCGAAAATCCTATTTTGGGGGGGGGGGGGGGGGGGGGGGGGGGATGACTTGGCTATTGCTTTAACTTTTTCAAAGGCAAGTTACTTTGAAATCCATTCAATGTATATATCCTATTGTAAAGGTAATGTTGGGGAAAAACTGTGATTTTGTTCTTCTTAAAAAGTGGGGGGGCAAAGACTACTCTTGCCCCCCACTTCTGAAAGTGGGGGACTAGTGCCCGAGCAATTTAAAGTCGAGTATAATCCCTGTGACTACGCCTATGAGAGGAGTTGGTTACTGCAAAAATTGTAAGATTTAGGGAGCAGTTTTTGCATGTCGTATTTAACCCAAATCGCCACAGGTTGAAACTCGAAATTCCAAAAACTTGTGAATTAAAAGAAAACTTAGGCCAATCACAATCCTATATATGAGTTGGCTACTGCAGAAAATGAGAGAGGATTTTTGGAAACCTGGGTTTTTGTGAAAGCACGGTTCTTTGTCCGATTTGGCTTCAAGGAAAGAAATAGAATTTTCAAAATATTCAAGGCACCACCAAGTATACTTCAGAAGATGACTTGGCTATTGCTTTAACCATTTAAGCGTGTAACATCAAATAGGCAGAATGACCATATTCAAAGTAACCAAACATTTATTCTTTAAAGACTTTGCTGCTCGTCTCCTGGTCTTCTCTTAGACAATTCGAGCAATTTAAAGTCGTGTATAAAAATTGGGCTAAATAGCAGACACATTTATATAGGGGTCATTTTCAATATCGTTAAAAATAATTTCCAGTCATATTATCCTGTGAAGCGTATATGGTCGCCAAACATAACAATTTTATTTATGAAATGATTTGAAATAATAATAACGTCAAAATCGGTGCTTTTTAAAAGCATTTCTCGATTAAGAACGTAACAATAAAGTAAAGTGCCGGAACTTTTCTGCATTAGGACCCTAACACTTGACTGCTCTGTCTGGTAGGATATTCGGTTATGACAAATCCTGCAAAGTGCTTTGCAGTCATCAATTAATTATTTGCTTTAAGATACATGAAAAATGAATCATTGGGAAACCTTATTGGGATTTCTGTCCGTGAATGAAAGCTGTATTATATCCGTAATCTGACTAGGGAATATATGATGGATCATGCCATTGTTACTGGTAGCATGGGTGTTGGATTAACTTCTATAGATCTGTCTTTTCCACCGTTCCCTTTGGGTACTGGGCTTTTGTTCTTATTTTAATTGCCATTATTCACCCCATAAATTTTTGTTCTGCTATGGTCAAATTTCTAATCACGAAATTCTAGCAAATAGGACCCCTTGTATGAAATATTGATATCATTTAGCTCCTGACTTTATGCAACCGTGTAGTCTACCTTAATTTGTAAATGAATAAATGGAATTTCATTGTAATGTGAGAAACATTTATCTGACACCAAATAATTAAAACCTGTTCGCTTTGACATTTTATTGACTAAAAAATGTTATAAAATGTATTCGACGGATGTTTGTTTCTCTTGTATATATAGATCTATTGTATATTGATTTCGAAAAAAATCTCGAAAATATAATTATTCTTTTTTTTTCATTCTTTAATTAGATGACTCTTATCATAACAAAATTGAATTTTTCTGATCTCACGAAAAAGGAAAATTAGGCTTACAAAAATGCTTACGGTGTCTGTAGTCTTGTTCCAATTTTTTCGTCAAACAAAGAGTAGCAGGGACAGAACCAACTTTGTCAACATTTAGTTATAGTTGTAAATAGAATTTTTTGGGAAAAAAAATACCTGAGCATGCGCAGAGCGTAGATTACAGCAAGTAATTTTGGTAACAAAAGAATATAACAGAAAAAATTTTAAACACGCAAAAAAGTTTGGTGTTCAATTGGTTTTATTTGTAAGGAGGGGATGCATGTATTTTTTAAAAATAAACATTTGTGATATTTCAGTTTACCAATACTTTAATAAAAGGCATCATATCTTAATATGTAAAAATGTCAACATGAAAAAGAAATTTCAAAAACAGACAAATATTAAGCAATGTTACACTACAGATGTAAAAAAAAAACAACCATATACTCCAGAAATTCCTAAATTCCTAATACGTATATTAGTCAGGTGCTAAGTATGTGACCACTCATATTATGCAACTTGTATGCACATGCAATTTGTCAGACTTATTAAAATTTATGAAATTGTACGATGCAAAAAGAAGCATTTATCGTGTTTATATCAAAATTTTGAGATTCTTGTTTTTGGAACCATTAGGTAAAAACACAAGCAAGAAACACACAGGATTAAAATACTTTTCACTGCCCATGTTTATTTGTTTGTTTGTATGTTGGTTCCTCTCAGGAATTTTTCACTCATATGGAGACTCTACCACTGCAAAATTTTGTCCTATACTCGGTACCTGCGGCCATTGAGCAGTGAAGGATCTTTTTCGAGTCAGCACCTACTGCGACCTCGATTAAATGTTCTCATGCGAAGGACCTGTCTCCACGTCCTCCGGTGGGATTCAATCTTGCGAAGTAAGAATCAACTCCTTACTTTGCGACTCTGGAGCTGACGCTCTAACCACTGCGCGACTATTCTTCGGTATATGTTCAATTTATGAATAAGTTTATCGTTGCCTCATTATTTTGTCTTGCTTCTACTAGATATACACGTGTCCAACTAGTAATTCATAACAACCACCCAAAAGTCAGAGTCAGAAGCAGCGTTGTCCAATCCTCTTTTTCTCCGAATCGCAGTATATATTAGTATACAGAATGGTCGAAATTGCTATCAATAAAAACATTTTGGCACGTCTTTGATCCAAGTGTGTATATTGCAAGCATTGTTCGGTCATTGTGATGCTATTAATTATGACACGATATTTATATGCAGTCTGGGGTTAACAATGTAAACATCTTCTACAAGACTGTTGTATTAACGAAAAACAGAACAGCCAAGCCTTTGCATTAAGAAGTGTTCAAGCCAAGTTTATGGCAAAGCAGTAAAATTTTATTTTAAAAACTTATCTATCTGACAGCTTTAAATATCCTTTATCTTATTGTTTGCTCCCAATTAGAGTGGCTTGAATTGATCACAAGAAAAACGTCCATTGGGAACCATGACAGATTCAGTGCTGTTTGATGATGAACCATTAAAAAGAATTTTTAATAGGCTGTTTTGCTTTCAATGGATCTTGGTGATCATGAAAATTCAAGCAAAAACATCAACTCACTGTCATTCCGGATCAATCTTGACATATATTGCATGGGTATGGTCAAAAAAGTGTAATGAACTAATTATCGTTGAAGCAAACAGCGAGATAAACTATTTGGCAGTCAGTACCCAATAGCTTAGAACAGGGTTAAGTGTCGGTCATGTTTCTTGTTTGTCTGTTAGTACTATACTAATGGACGGTATATCAACTCATTAGGGAGACAATATTATATTAATGAGTATGTGTGGTCCACAAGCTACCGTGCCATATCTTTTTTGAGTTAACCGATATCCTGTTACAATTCACATAATTCATGTGAACTTTCTTCCATTTATTAGAGCACTGCTGCAATCAACGTTTCATAAAGCATACGTATGTCCAGGACTAAATGAACATGTAAATGCTACTCGTTTTAAGTTGCTTTATATTTACGTGAAAGAAAGCTGTAGATACGCATTGCTGTCAATAAGTTGCATCAAGGAAGAAAACAAAGAAAATTAAGAATCCGTACAGGTTGATTTCATGGTCCATTGCTGAATTTCAGGAAATTAATTGTAAAAGTTATTATTAAAGGAATGAGTCATTCTTCTCGACACATTTATGAACTCTTCATCTGTTGAGCAATTTTCATTTGCTCTTGTTTTTTGTGATGTCGTTTTAGTCGTAATTTGTTAAAAGCATTGCTTGCAATAAATATTGAAATAGCGACACTTAAAATGTATTGCAAAAAACATTTCAATTTAGAAATCTTTTAATCCCAAAAGATCTTTTGAAAATTGGTCAAATTTTGTTTTCACTACACGAAGTGTTACTACACCAATCTGAAGTGCGGCAAGATAAATATTTACCTTCAAATTTGTCACTGGATTTGTCTTGGTGTTTGGGTTTTTTTTCAGTACTTGCATTTTTGTTTTCCTTGTTTATTTCCATGACATACAATAATTTTATCTGTAATTTAAATAAGGAAATATACATATATAATTTCTAACTATATCAAATTCATATTGAAAGTCACATATTCGTTGTTTTTCTTACCGATTACACTTGGTATCTAAGCACACCTAAAAGGTTAGTTGGCTAAACAATCAGTCAAAAAAAAACTATGTCAGTCAAACTATGCGAGAATTTCTAGGAATGTACAACCAAAAAGAAAAGGTTACGGGGTTAGACAAATCTGCTTAGAAGGTTTCTTGGCTATTCAAAGAACACAAAAAGGGCATTTTAACTGTGTTAGTAAAAACCATCCACAACGTGGCTGGAAAGGGTCTTCTATAAAATTACTATTGGATTAGTTTAACCATATAAAAAGTTAACTAGGTCAGCAAATCAACGTAATGTTACTGGGCTATTCAAACAGCCCGTAAAAGTTACGGATAACAAAATCTTTCTAAGCTAATATCATAAGCTAAACTCATATATAAATTACTTGGTAAGTCAAACCAACTAAAAAATAACTTGGTTAGTTTTATAATTTTCAGAGAATTTTAACCCATTAAATTCACAAATCTACATAAAAAAGTTTAACATTCTGTAATATGAATTGCTTTATGTTAGTCTTTGATTTAACATTATTTTCTTTGAGAATAGTTTTATATTTGTTCGAACATTTACACCAAAATCATGCAATCACATGGTTTTTGAGATCATGTTGTGTTGCAGCATCAAATACTTTTATTTAACTGTACCACATTATCACTTCTTGATCAACATTAAACAAAATAAGGGATAAATTAAGAATGGAGAAATAAATCTGACTGATAAATTCTAAACTAAACCTTGCAATACGCGAGAAAGAAAATTGATTGGAATGGTTCTGTAATGGGAATTAAGTTCATTAACAAGACTCTATGTTATGATTTATACATGACCATTATGTGGTAGATTGTTTTAAGTATTTGCTTATTCGATTATTTCTTATTTCCATTTACTTGGAGATAAAAACCAAAAAAACAGTAATACGTATTGGTTGTACTTGACAATGAATTGCTATTGCCATTACGATCTGATAGTAAAATGTGTGCTTTCTTAGTTTCAGGAAGGAATCGATATAAAAAGTACATAGAACCAAACTTTGTCCAGAAAGCCAACAATATTACAGTGCACAGGGGCCAGACAGCAGTCCTAGAGTGTACTGTGGAAAATTTAGGACCGAAAACGGTTGGTGTGAAATTCATGTATTACATATACATGCAAGTTCAAGCTCATCTGAGGTCTAGAACAAAGGCTATGTATGTTCAGGGAATATTAAATAGCACTGATAACTGGTAGTGTCCTGTAAATTTGCAATAAGGTTTCAGGATTTTTATATTTACCTTGGGACCAAAATGGGGGTCGAAAAACTACTTGTACTTTTATAAAAACCTGAGTTTCATGAAATCCTCAATATTAAACTCAGTAGCTTCCTCATCTTTTGCAAGATGATAAGGGAGACTTTGTGATGTGAAATGAGGTTTTGGAATTTTAATTTATACCATTTGGGGCAATAAGGGTAAAAACATGATGCTTTTTATTTCATTATAATCTTTTATTTTTGACTGGTTATAAATCTATTATTGAAATACAAACATAGGAACCTCATGGTCTTCAGCTAACGTGTACATTAAAAGGTCAATTTGATTCAGTTATACATGTTTACGTATTTTATGTAATTTTAAGAATAAGACTAATATGTTTTGGGTATTTGTTACCTACGTACAAGGGGACAAACGTACATTTAGAAACAAACACTTACGTGTGGGTATTTAACAGCCAGTCTTATGACAGTATTTAAATTTGCCATGTAGAAATGCAAAAAAAAAAAAAAAACTATTAAATTAGCAGAATTGTAAACACAAATCTAGAGAATTTTCAAGCATTGCAATCAAAATAGCTTTATCTTATCCAGAGCAGTCTACAACTATATGTTCCTTGTAAAGTTAAGAGAGATTCGTCGTAATATTGAACCAGTCTTGAGCTTCTCGTTGATCGCGGTTGATATAAATAAGGAAAATTTAGTTGTATGAGACGTTCATCGCCAATTTCAGACGATTGAAAATGTTTAAATATTCCATTTGATGTCAAGTTATTTCAGTATGCCTTGACATAGTGATTAAAAACCTTAAAGTGACAGCTTGTCAATGTTCAATTGAAATCAATCGACCTGATTAGACATAAATAATTATCAATATAATATCATTAACACTGGTATTTAATGGATGATCAATCTCACGAAGTTGGATGATATATATAATTATGAATCTGACATATCTATCACTTTAAAAAACTGATATGAAGTAGATTTAGGTAGAACCCAAAAAGAATATATGAAAGTTGAATTTTAATTTCAAAAGAGACCATAAAAAAAACAATATTTGAATTAATTTTTATTAAATTTGATCAACAATCGCTCTTATCGTCCTAGATATACTTGTAGAATTGACTGAGATACTGAAACCAGTTGATTTAATAATTTTTCGTCCATGTTAAAAAAAGGTTTTTCATTTAATAGAGTGTAAAACTAATGCTATGATGGACTTATGCTTAATATTCAGTAGCATGTTGGTAAACTGCTTGTAAAAGTTAAACTGATACAAAGAAAGAAAGAAAAAGCACGATGTAGACTTTATTGAGATGATATTCGAAAAGAAATTCTAGTATGAGCCGAATAAAACATGTCTATTTAGATTAGATCGACAGCCTGCGGTTAATCCATATCTCTTTGTTGTATTCTCATTATAAAACATTGTGATATTTAGAAACACGTTTCTTATGATTAAATGCCATGTTATCACATAAAACTGCCCTTTGATGTTTCGAATCATTTCTATTTATATCGAATATTAAATTTTTCAAATACATATTTTCTAGGTTGTTTGGAGAAAAAAATCGGACAGTTATGTCCTTTCTATAGGGGATAGAATGTATGCAGATATTGAAGAAATGAGTGTGGATGTTTCCAGATCTCCTAAGTACGACCGAATCCAGACTGATTTGATTATCAAACACGCCCAGCCGAGTCACAGTGGTTTATATGAATGTCAAATAAGCTCCAAAAAGGGCTATAATTTTATCGTGCAGCTAAATGTGCTGGGTAAGTTAACTCCTTCATTATTAATGGATAAATGATACCTACAGAATGCAAAATTCACCAATATAGACGGTAGAAAAGTACTAAAATTATGTAGTTATCAAATAATCAACGTTTGTTTGTACTCACTATACTGCCGACCTCTGATATTTTAACAATCAAAGTAATGGAAGTATCGGGAGGCGCAGATTAAGCCTTGATAACATCGGACCAGACAGGTTTAATTGTATATACATAGAACATTTTCAACCTTATTGACAAAACTATTATAGCATATCAGCTTTAACCTCAAAGTACAAACCAATCTTTGGGGAACTTCATTTAGAACAATGTTATTCATGACCCAGAAAATTTGTCTAGTGAAACAACAGACATGTTGAATTACAATTTTCTGAAATGTGCTTCCCCCTTACAAAAATTTACTATAGTTAACAATAGTTTACAATACGTATTCTTTTTACTGAGAAACTTTACTATAAAACCCTTTTGAGAATTCAAGCTAAATCTATTTGATTCAATAACATGCAGTGATGTTAAATTTGGAAATATGTGAATATTATTATACAAGTATTACAGTCCCATTTAATGTAAAAAAAAAATCATGTTTGAACTGGAGAAAATAAAATGCTCCAATATGAAATCCAAAAAATACTTTTACTATTTTTGATAGCCGACCTGTAGATTCACTCTAGCAAAGTTTTTTTTATACTACTATATATAAACTTAAGTTAACTTTAGAAGTAAGCAATAGTTAACTATTACATATGTAATTTTTTTTTTTTTTTTGTTACGGACATTCTTGTACATAGTTGTACTGCAAAAAAGTTATAATAAATTAAAACGAAATATTTATATGAACATATTATGTAATTGATTTTGTTTGCTATTTTTATTCCCAAGTTTCTGAAATTGAGAACATGTCACATTCCAAACTTCGTACTGGTATTTTAAGAATATGGATCTGACTAAAGTTTAAGTTCGCCAAGTGAGCTGCACTTTTAATTGTATGCAGGTTATCATATTTTATTAGATTTCTAAAAATATATTCGGTACAGATCAACATTCGTTCACGTCCTTTGATTTCTGTGTAGATGAAATATTTAAAATATTCTCTTCATCTGGAATATTGATCAGAACAAAATGTATACAATGTGAGTCCCTATGCAGGAAATCTATTACACTTTCCTTTGATTTAAATTCTTAGGTTTTGTTTTTGGTTTGTTAATTTTTCGCTGGTTACAATCAACTGTCAAGATAAAGAATTAATATGAAATCAATCTTCTTTTAGTCCTTACATCGAGATAAAATCATTTTTCAAGAACATGGGAGACTTAATTATTTCTCATTATGAATTAATGTAATTCATTAATTAATGACCTCCGTGGTTTTTACGCCAATACATTGGGCGTTGGTCTTTATATCAACCTGTCAATGTTTTATTTTGTAGATACTCAACCAGCATATGAACCTGGTAAGAACTAATAACTTACACGAATAAAAAATGTCAACATTTTACTTTCATTTTTAAATAATGGTTATCAAATGATTTTCTTCAAAAGAGGACATAAGGAATTTTAATAGATTATTAAAAAAGATTTTATAATAAATGACCTTTTAAATTGAAGCTTTTGCATTAAATGACTATGTTAATTAATTACTTTGTCAAACCTTTTCTTTCCGTTTTTAATAAATGTCTTTTTTCTTATTTAAGCTCTAACGATAAATGGCTCCGTGTATGTAAGTAGGTTTTCCAAAATAAGCCTCACCTGCAACGCAACGGGTGCAGTCAGGGCACCAGAAGACATAGACTGGTTCCATAATGGACAGAAAATACGTCAAAATGATCCCCACTGGCGCCACCGAACCCTCATTTATAAATACCAGGAGGTTCCAGGACGGTCTCTGGTCAGTAACCTATCGGTAGAACGCGCGAGAGATGAGGATGCTGGGACCTACATCTGTAGGAGTTCGGACAAAGACACCAAGAGCATCACGGTACACGTCCTCAATGGTAAGTTTGGAAAACGTCAGGGCTTGCTAAGTAACAGTTATATTTTTGCTTGTGTTTAGTTTTCCTAATATTTTTTTTTATCTTTTTGACTTTTATATGTTTGATAAATATTTTCTTTCTCTTTTCTTTTTTGATGTGACAGCCGGCAAAGATATCTCTGAAAGAGAAGTTGGCAATGGTAAATATATCTCTGGAGTTTATATTTTGACAAATTTACTTTATTTTTCTCCCCAATGTTAATGATGTTCTACCACTTGTATTTTTCTCATGAACTGATACTTTTATCCACTTCTAGGTATATCCTCAAAACACGATCATCAAACATTAGAAAACAACTGTAGTTCTCAGTGTCGTCTGCTGAATGTCCTGTTATTGGTGACGTCAGTTCTGCTTGTCAATAGGTGATGAAGATGATCTTTCGATAGGTAACCTATTGATATTTACATATCGGGACATGTGCCTTACATCACCCAATGATGATATTTGCGTTAATTTCTGCGGTGAGCAGTCGATTTCAGAAGATATATTGCACGTTTTGTTCAATGGCTAGATCGATTTGAGACACTTGGTAACTGGACACCTAGTGAGCAGAGGATGGAACTCTTGATTTGTTACTGGTGGGTAAAATTCCAGATGCAACTAACGCCAGACAAAGTTGGGAAGTCAATAGTCTTTTAGCGACATCTTCATGTGGCTTTTGCTTTTGAGAAAGCTTTAAGTTGACAAATATTTGAACTGGTAAACATTTGCATGGATTTTTTTTTATACATTGTACAATATTGTTTTGCAGCTCATTTACATTTGGCCGTTACAGGTACATTCTACACTTTGAAAGTGCTGAAAACGGCATAAATTTAAACAATATATGTGTAACGGCCAGTAATACTTTAAGGAGGGTTTTGTAAAGCCTGTTTTAAGTTATATATATATTTCATGTTTCAACATTCCACATTTATTGACAATAATGAAATATAATCACATTTTCGTGATGCAACAGAGAAAGCATGTGATTCATAATCGTCATTTCTTACCTATATATGGTCATCACATCAAATGATATACTGTTTTCATTTCAATCGTTATCATTATAACATAAATTATTTCATTATCTTTCATGTTTTTGTTTCAATTGTTCAATAAAATGTTATTTATTTAAATTGAATATACGTTTCCTTTTTTCTTTTCTTTTACTTTATTTTATTTTCCTATTGTGGATGCAGTATTAACTGAGAAAGGGATATCTATCAAGCAGAGATTGTTACTTTATTTTCCAATATAGGACGCTGTTTTACTGATAACTTTTATCATACAGAGATAAAACAAGTCTCCTTCCGAGTTTTTCTTTGCTGACGAGTGAGCCAGAAATGCCACATTAGATGTTGTGCCAAAAGCAATGGGTCAATCAAATTGAGAATATGTATTGTGCCAAGATGCCCCGTGTTTTCTCAGCCGTCGATGTGACGCCAAAAAGCAATGAAACAACATTACTTTGCATATGCATATGCATTTATATACAACACATTCAAATCTTGAATGCCAATTACTAGATATGCCTGTAGTTTTTTCTATAAACAATAGGTTTGTCAAACAAAATATAAATGCATTACACGTTTTTTTTTACTTAAACGGACTGATTTTTAAATGCCAATTTTAATGTTTACAATTTAAAGCAAATAAAATGATCAGCAAAAATTTGAACATCATGTGTTGATTTACAAGGTAGATACATAAAGAAAATATCGTATTTATAACATAACAATATTCAACAAATCACTACACAAACTGTAAAAAAAAAAAAAGCGCTTGTTTTGTTTTTGTTAACATAAACAAAATATCATATTTGTAACAAAACATTCAAAAAAATCACTACACAAACTTTCTAATCGTATTTAGAATTTTCTTCTTTATTGAAAAAAATATGCTTTGAAAGAACATATATTAGTATATTAGCCTATGTTAAAAAGACATGTAACAGACCTTCTCTACATAACAAAGGTTTGGAGCTCTAAATCTTTCTTGTATCTCGACAACTGAAATTCAAATTTTCGATAATCATTAAAAATACCTTGGTGAAGTATTTGTAAATACAAGAAAAGAAAAAATAAATTTGAAAATTTTTAGCTATAATTGTGTTCATGTCCCTTTAAGTACTGATATAGATTAAAAATGCAATATTTTTTCAAAACGTATGATAGGCAATAAAAGAATATTTGGAGAGGGGGATAAAGGAATGTTTTCTTCTTCTATGTAGTTCAAATACGAATCTTAAATGAAATTACTATCAGCTTACACTCCTAGCCCCTGGCCTGAATTTAAAAGAAAACTTAACACCTGTACTCATTAACGCAGATATTTTTTTATCAAATATGTACATAAATTTTCATATTCTTTAAAAAGAACCATGTGTCTTTTAAATTCTTATTACAGGTTAACGATGGGTAACCGCTATCCATGTTATATGCAAATAATGTAATAATTAACGATACAGGAAAAGAGGCAGTTTATCATATTTTATGAGATCTGGTGCTTCACCTTAACTTCAAACGTATTCCAAAATTTATTCTTTTTCGTTTAAGGATTTGTGTTAATAAGGTTTATTTTTATCATATTGTGCACGTGCAATCAATCAAAAAATATATATGGTATGTCAAAGGATGTTTTATTGAAATTGTGTTATTAATTGATATTAGATCATCCTAACTATTACGAAGAAGTCAATTTGTTTTAAATGATTGGTCTATGAGGTTATTTTCATAAATTTAGTTAAATGATGCAATTTTAAACCATTAAGTACAATGAATTCAGTATTGATAAATGGAACATACATGTAGCATTATTTTCTCTGACATTTCAACTACCATAAACCTTGGATTAATATTTTTGTGATTTCAAAAATTAGCGAAAATATTTTTTTTAAATAATGAATTATGCGAAAATTTGTTTTAATGAATAAAGTTAATAATCGATAATTCTTTATTGGATTAGTCGACTGATCCATAGATCCGTTTAAACAAATTTCACTGTAAAAGCAAATTGATTCTTACATTCGTTGAAAAGAAAAAAATTCGTTATGACAAATTTTATCGATATCACTAATTAATAAAAAATTTACTTGTGGTTGAAATGCACTTTTTATCATTAATTAAGACTGACTGTATTTATTAAGACTGACTGAAAATTTTACATTGTATTATCTGTATTACCTACGTCAAAAACATATCAATCCGCTCGGCGTTACATTTAAATTTTGACCAATTTAATGTCATATTTTAGTTGAAATGCTTGGTAGAAAAACAAATTATTAAGATATAACATAGGTTGACACAGTTGCCCAAAAGTGTCACCACCTTTATATCTCTAAAAATGTCGACGTTTTAGAGGTGCTGTTCGTAACTCTATGCGTTTTAATGAGCTACCGCCGTTGAAGATTCCTGTAAATTTTGATATTGTACGTACCTGTACATTTTGAAGATCTTCTGATGAACGCTTCTCTGTACATTCTGATGATCTGCCGCTGGTTTACATGTACCAATATATTATGCTTCAATTATCTTTTGCTGGTATATCACATCCGTTAAATTTCACAATCTTAGCTATACATATATCGGACTTTGTACAATTTGGCGATCTTCTGGTGATTTACATACATTGTTTTCCTAGAAATTAATAATGAGAATTCTCGGGATTTTTAAAAAAATATTTTTACAATAGGATACATAAAAAATTGAAATAAGCTTTTTATCAAATGACAAAATAGCTACTTATTTTATGTGCAAATTTCCTGAACTTACCGTTTTCCTTGTATGCTTCTTGTCGAGAGTGCAAAATGAGTGGTTTTGAAAAAAAAAAAAAGCTTTCTGTAGATAATTGCAAATCTAGCAATACTTTTAAAACTCTGAGCATTCCACCGTCATATTGTAATTTAGTTGTGACAAAATATTGAAAAATTGAAAGGAATTTGGCACAGGAAAAGAGCTGTTAGATCTAGGAATATAAGGCCATTTTCTCTACTCTTAGTGTTGTTCTATTTAAGCCTTCTTTGACATTCAAACTAAGTTTACTGGGCCTGAAAACTCTTCTCCTTAACCAAAGTCCTTTTCTCTCATTATATTCTGTAACACACAATACATACTTATGGTGAAATACTCGGGGTTACAGAAATACCACCAGATTTAACTATGCCTTACTTATACACAACTAGGCTTTCTATTTTGATTGAACATCAGCAGTAGACAGTAGGTATAATAAATAAAAATAGGAGGTTAAACTTGAAAACTGCATGTGTTATAAGAATGTTATAAGATTGTCATTAAACAAAATTGCAACATTAAATTAAACAGTATGTTATTAATCCAACATTTTAGATAAATGTATCGTAAAACTTTTTCAATAATTTCTGGGGCAATTAGTAGCGTCTCAATCTGAGTGAAAAATTCTCGAGAGGGACGACAACCAAAAAAAAAAAAAAAAGCAAACAAACAATAATTTCTTGGAACATTATTTTGATGATCAACTTCTTTATCTCTTTGTTTATTTGATGATCTGATTCTTGCACACTCACCGGTCGTGTTGACCCATTGATGACGTAGTCAGATTGTAGTATTGGCTGAAAAAGGATATTATATAAAATTTAAAACAAGTATATAATTCTTCAATATGTGCTTTATCTAAAACACTCTTCTTCATTCTAGTAATATGCGAGCATATTTTATTTATTAAACAAATTGAATGTAAGCCGAGGCTTAACTATCTTTGATTTATCGTGCATACAGCTATTTGAATTTATGCAAATCAGACCAATGATGGGAATTCTGTGACAACATTTCAATTTACATGTAAATAGAGATAGCATATTTAGAAACATCAGTAGCAACAAACATAAAGTTGTTTTAAAGACTTCAATCCTTTGTCTAATTAAGATTCATAGAACTAGGTTATGAGTCTTCGCAAAGTTTGATAGAAGATAAAGGATAGGAATATGTTAACCTTGTTTGAAACAGCAAGGTTAAAATAATTATATTTTTGCATATTCAATATTGCTCATCAGTTTTAAGGAAAAATGTTTTATGAATAATGTCTGATGTGGAAAAGAAGCTATATGACTAATATATGATACAATAAAAAAAAAAAGATTGTTTGGTTCAATGCCCTCTCCCACCCGACTAAAAATGGGCTGACTCAAAACTTTCTTTTTACATTCCAGGACACACAATATTCTTTTTTATTTTTAGTCCTCTTATCCCATCAACAAATATGTTGAACTTTTCTGGGGGAAAATTTTCCCACTTACCTACCAACGAAATAATAATACCCTGAATAGGGAGAGGCCAAGCAAACATAATATTATAGATGACCCAATAAAAATACTTCCGTTTTGACTTTAAGTGAAAATTCTTCGGCATATTTTAACGGAACTTGGCTGGTGTATTATTCTTCAAATGATTTTTTTCTAAACCCAAACATTTTCTAATCAAATAATCAAAGTAATTAATCGATCAGTAAAACAGTAAATTATTATATACCGGGTTAAATATAATAATAGACACATTGAAGAAAATGGTAAATGTACATCTTTCAACTGGAGCAAGACACCAAGAGAGAAGAAAGGCGAAGAGGACAATTACAACAACACAAGAAGGAATAAGTTCCTTCACTGTAAATGAAAAAAAAAGAGTTATTCGAATACCGGTATTCGAACCGATTTCTCTTGTAAGAACAGCATGCATTTAGAAATTTTAAAATTATCTGTCAGTTTCATTTGATTCTTATAAGGTCAATACCCGGTAATCATACTTGTAATGTAATAGTTCTGGCATTAGCGGCTTTCCTAGGTTATTCCAGATTTAAATCAATTTCTAAGAGGAGAAATGAATTTCTTATCCTTAGATAGTATTGTGTATGATACAAAATGGAGAAGTTATCCCAAGTTGGCAACCAATTTATAAGGGGAAAATACAGTTCTAATCCTTGATATCAAATGGGAAGTGAAAATGAGATAAGATCGTTTTTGTTGCATTAATTATGTATCATGGTGAAATACGAATTTAATTATCAGAAACTGGAAGAGATAATTTTAATTACATAATACCATTTCAACATAATCTTCATTTCAGTGTAATTGTTCATGCATCTTTCAGAAGGACAATTTGAGCT